CCCCCCCCCCCCCCCCCCCCCCCCACGCCCTGCCAAGTAGAAGAATCGATGAATCTGTCGGGGCGCCGAGTGGGCCCAGTGTCTACTACTACTACTACTACTACTACTACTACTACTACTCTTCAAGGCGCTATCTTGTACTTGTACCATAATATCCCCAAGCCCCTATTCCAATTGGTAGGGCCCGTATAGTACCATGATCTCCGCCTTGCTGAGGCAAAACTACAACCCGGTCCTCTCCCTATTGCCGGCGCTCGATGGGCAGAAGAACGGCACACTCTTCACCTGCGTTGACCGGTTGAAGCAGCACCTCGGCTTTTGGATGTAGTACATGTGCCTGATGTGTGGGCCTTTCCAAGGAGTCTAATAAGTTGTGTGGTACCTTATACAGACTGGGCTTCAAGGGATTCGCCGTATAAAGGAGCCTCATATCTCAAATCCCAAATGAACTGTAGTAATCTAAGCCTCCTGGGAACGCCTTAGAGCTCGGCCTACTCATTTACCTTGGGTAAGTAGGGTTTGGGGCTTGGGGTTTTCGCATTTTGGGGTGTAGGGCTTGGAATCCTCCCATGTGTTAGTTGGGAGGTGCTGCACTCGCGGCCTGATTTTGCAGTGGCTCATCATTGCTTGGAGCCGTTCTGAAACACTCCAAGAGCTGAAATGATTCGAAACCATACACTCGAAGTCGTAGTCGACACGGTCGACCTCCCAATTGAACTCACACCCGAAGCCCGCTGTGAAAGGTCACTTAAGCTTGGGCTCCTCATGAGGGCTCCTCACGTTTCGAAGGGCTCTCCATCTCATCCCGTGTTGGCTGACTCAGCACAATGACACCTCTCTGTCGCTGGGGGTCCAAGCCGTGGTATCGAGGGGACTCCTTTGCCTCTCCGACTCTTGCACCATCCGTTCTGTGTGGACGCATCGCGGTGTCTTGGAATACCCTTGCGAGGGCCCCTTACTTAGAGGCTTTACGGCCTACGCTTTGGGGCTGCAGGAACGTATCTACGGCAACATAATCATGTCTTGTCAGGATTTAGGATGCAAGGTTTCGGACTGCAAGTTACAAATCAGTTCAGCGCCAAATCCTGAAACTAGAAACCATGGACCCTAGCTGAGAAGCATGAAGCCAAAACCCGAACCCCGAAGCTCCCCCAATCCAGCACCCTAAACCTGAAAGCCTTAAATCCGAAACCCTGAACCCCAAAGTTGTACAGCCCTGGGCGCCTAGAGCTAGAGGCCAAAGGTACGCAGTGCTTGCTTCCCAAAAAGCCTTCCGTACTGCCGAGGAGTTGAAACATCATTGTCCGCATGCTCTCATGCAAGGCGTAAGGAACCCCAGCACCAAACATCACACCCGTCTGAGAATCGCCGCACAGAGGTACGACGAAGAGTATGCCTTCTACTTAGAGTGCCCGACGAACATGCCGTCCACGCGCTGTGCCGATGGCAGGCGCACGCAGCCTCTTCCCGAAAAAAAGCTTGCGATGTCTTCACAGGGTGCTGCGCAGGATTTGCATGGCTTGCAGAACCTAGGCTCAACACATAAGCGTTGTGTTTCATGTTTCGGGATGTTGGAGATGTATACGGGGGTTGGAGACCATAATGCCACTGCAAGCATTGCGGGAACAGTGAGAAAGGTGTGTCCAAGAAATCAAAATCACCCGCATCGACTTGTAGATCCGAATCCCGCAAGCCGCCAACACACCTTCAAAACAAAGCGAACCCTGAACCCCAAGAATTAAATCCGGGGCACCGAAAGCCTAAGCGCTACACCCCCAAATCCAAGCTTCAAACCCTAAAGGCCCGGCCCAGCGAAGCTCTAAACTCGAAATCGCCAAGCCCGAAGCCCTAAACAACGGACTCTAAGAGTGATTTGGATTAAACGCCCTTACACAGCCTTACACACATGATTAGCAATAGTACGGCTCAAGTAGTAACAATAATACTAACACACTAATGGCAACAGCACGAGAGTAGTCAGATTAGTTCTAAGATAACAATGAAAATGTTACTGAACGGTACCAGTACTAACCATAGCATTTGTAAGAATACCACTGTAGTAGTGTAACGCTACTTGAACCAGACTGGCGGCAGGCTGGGATTGACTTCGAAGCAGAACTTCCACGGTACCAGCGTGCATCTGGATCTCAGAGGTTTCAGGGCTTTCGGGCTTGGGTTTCGGAATTGGAGACTTTAGGTTTAGGATTTGTTGGTGTCGGATGTCGCGTTTCTGGTTAAGGGTGCCGTACGTAGGATGTCGGCTTTGGGTTTAAGGTTTGGAGCAACTCTTGAGCCAGGGGGTTCATGAAGTTGTGGTTTGGGTGGTTTACAGGTGGCGGGCTTTCTGACGTAGTGAAGACGGCGACGCCAAGTCTTGAGCGTGCCGTGCTTAAGGAGGGCTAGGGTGTTCAACTACAAGGCTAGCATGGAGCTGTTGAGCATTGAGGGGGAGATTGAAGGCAGCGGTGCTTGCAAAACCAGGGGGCCCGCTGTGTAGCTTTAGCTGAAAAATCAGACTACACCAAGCACACCAACCTGAGACCGCAGATCTCCCATGGTGCTACTGCTACTTGTAGCAAGATCTCCAATATAAATAATCGCAGTATGCAGTAGTAATATGTACGTGTGTATATATATATATATACATATACATATATATATATATATACGTACAAATAGAAATAGTCACAGTGGTGATTGGTAGTGTTCTGAGGGAGAAAAGTCATTTGCTCCACACCGAAACCTCTTTTTTCCTGAGGTATCCGACGATGTTAATCGAGAGTGCCAGGGACCTACAAGCGATGCAGAAGGTGGATGCTTGGCCTACTTTAGGTTTATGTTTGGCTTGGGTTGTTTCCCTCCTAGCTGAAGCAAGGCGAGTGGAGAACGACTCGGAAACTCAGCCCTTGTGCTGCCGAATAAGCAGGTGTCCGTTAGTATGGAGGCGTCTTGCAGGTCGGCTGGAACTTGTCTCGAAACCTTGAAACCGTGCGGCTAGTCTAGAATTGCAGAAGCAAGCTAGAAGCCCTTCCTTCGAGAGGAAACCTCGCTTAAGATCAATGCAGGATTCCCAACGGCTGCTCTTACCGACCGTAGACCCTGGATTCCAATCACCATTAAACCCCAGACTCTAAGGACTTTAGGAGGGGCCCCTAATAAAAACCCTTAATCCCATGACCTTAAATAACCATTGTATAGTCCTTATATACCCCTTACTACCTAGGTAGTCTCCATATTAACTCCAATAACCTACAAGGGTCCCTATTAAGGGTCCCTCCTACAACCCTTAGACAGACTCATTTGCAGTGTTGTGGGCCGCCTGTGGACGTTGTGGGTCTGTGGACATTGAATGTGGCAGTAAATGCACAGGCCCCCCCTGTCTTCAGAATCCCTCGCAGAATGTTCGAAGCCAAAGGCACTTAGTTTCATATCAAAGCAACCACAGTTTAGGAGACCCTAAAGGTTACTAAGACTGCTGTTGAGCCCAAATGCTTCGAAGCGAAAGCGGAAGCTACTGGAGCTGTGTACTATCGCGGTTCCCGCTTAGCCCGAAACCCAAAACTCCCTTGCCGTGACGGTTGGGTTCCCTCTTTTCCTAGGGCTGGATCGATGTGCAGACAGAGAAGGTCGCCATCAGCACCCTGACGAGTCACAAGGAGCTGACGAGGTCTTCACTAGACAGTAGCAGGAAAGTCGGAAGCAAACGAACGTTCTGCAGATGCTCCTTCCTCTCCCAAAAGACGGCCTGTCGCAACGCAGCCGGCAAAACCGTTGCTTCTGGCAAAATGTACCGACTCATACCTCAAGAACTTTGAAATTCTCAACGCAAACCTCCAAAGAACTCAAATTTACAATTCCTAAACACCTCGTGTTCGATACTTTGGGTGCCTTAACAGTTGCCGATCCTTTCTGTACATTCTACACGCCAGCCCGATGTTGGTCGGACGCTTGCATGCTACCCAAGTCAGGCACGATGATCTACACCGAGAATATTGAGATGTTCACCTCCCTCACCGTGGAGCATCTTGGAACGGCTTAACAGTCCACATGATTGGAGGTTACTCTAAGTTAGGGTCATTTTTGGGGTGTCTTCGATGCTTGAAGTGGCTCCATGAAGCCCTACTGTTGCCGGACACACCTCCAAAGCCATGTGCAGACTTGGTGTGCATTGGGGTTTGGCCCGCTACTGCCTTCCTGGTAACAGTTTCGGCGGTCAAGGACCCGATGCGGCGGTTAATCCCAAAGCGTATGCCTTTCCAGCTTGCAGAGTGCTTCGGGCTCATATCAAGGGGTTTCAGGTCCGCATCACTCCGTGCAACTCTACGCTTAGCCCATTTTGAACTTGGGTTATTCTACCCAGTGCCTCAGTATTGTATGAACATGAGTCGACTCATTGCCAGGATATCTCCACAAACATAAAGCCCACGTTAACGATCCACATTATAGAAGGAATCCTTCAACAACAGCTCGGTGGGGTGTGTCGTTTCTGGGAGCTTGCTAAAGAACCCAAAACTGCATAAACCCCAAGCTCTAAACATAATGTAGAATGGTATTATACTATACTATACTATACTATACGAGACTCGACTAGACTAGACTATACTAGGATTATATTAGAACAATCTGCAAACCGCGCCAAGCCCAAATCCCGAAGCCATATCCGTGGTCCTTACTGAGGGCTACTCCCGAAGCATCTCTCGAGCTCACAACCCTAAAATCCTGTTCCTTACACCCCAACGTAACATACCTCAAAATTCTATTCTTATCAAGACCCATTAATGTTGCACGCTACCCCTCTCCGAAGAACCTTCAGAGGTTTGCTTTCGACTATGCGGGCAACATCGCGGGCTCCGTGCAGAGACTACCTTCGAATTCAAGCAGGGTTTGGAGGGTTGCTACTCCCTAAACCTGTTACGACAAGGGCCACCAGCAAGGGTTCCCATACGGATTTACGATCAGGGTTTACCTTCGGATATGGTTTGGAGGCTTTAGGGTTTTCAGGTGATGGGCTTCGGGACTAGGTTCAATTGTTGGGATTCAGGGCCTAGGGTTTCAGGGTTAACGGGGTTTAGGTTTCAACAGGCTAAACTTCGATGGCTTCTGGGTTACCAAGATCAGGATGTGGGTTTCTCTGCGGGGGCCCAGGTTTGACAGGTGTAGGATCTGAGAGCTTTGTGTCATGTGTGATTTCCGCTTGACCTGAAGCCCATCCAGACCCAGTATCAGAAGAGTTGAAAGCATCCTGACCCTTCGAGCTCGCAACTCCCAACCCCAAGTTCGTACATTTGGGATCGGGGCGTGTGGATTCTCAGCCTTTAGGCTTCTTCTGAAGACGTAAGCTTCTTCGGGCCTAATTTCAATTGCTAGCTGGAACATCATAGAAAATGAGGGGTTCGGAAAACATCCATGAGTTCGGTGTCCTGATAGGATTTGATTACAACTTTGTAGTTCTGGCGAGCGGCTGCTTCGACACAGACCCATCTGCAGAAACTGATTACCCTCCACGTGGCAAACTACTTGAAGATTAAATCGCGTGGTGAGAGTGATCAGCAGTGGCACGAGCGAGGGCGTTCAATGATCCCCCCCCGCTCAAGCCTTTGACACGGGCTTGGACCTGAACCTTTGTCTGTGGAAGCGCAAGCACCAAACTGGGATGATACATATACAATGGAACATGTCCACATGTACGTATACATGTACGTATATATATATATATATGTGTGTGTGTGTGTGTATATGTATATATACATATGTATATACGTATATATGCATGCATGCCTGCATGCATGGATGTGTGCAGATATTTTGGCATAAGAATACAATGACAGATAGATCTCATAAATGAGGCCGAAAGTGCGAAAGTACTCCCGAAATTCAAATGAAACCTTCAACGAAGTCCATGAAACTTGCAGATGCGCCATACTGAGCCTCGAATCGGACCCGTCCATTCCAAGCTGTCCGAACGCCCAAAGGATGATCAGTTATCGAGACCTGGTGCACTCGGCGTCGGACACCCGACGGCTTTGAGGATCAGTTGGTCTTTGAGCCGGGGTGCATGGGGTACTGTTGTTGTTGCTGCTCTCGTGGCAACGATGGGATCATCCTCACCACTTCTACGATCAACTCTAGAACCTAAACCCTTCCACTTAAAGCTCTGGCCGTTCCGGTTTATGACATGTTCCATCTTTAAGAAGTCTTTCTCGAGTTTCTCAAAGCTTGCCTAGGCTGCTTGGATCTGGCCTCTTCAGTCTTCAAGCATTCTGAAATAGGGTTCTCTCTGAGGGGTTAGAACTATTTATATATTAAGGAATATACTTTTAAATTAATTTACAAATACCGTAGCCAAAAAAAACGGCTCAAGGTTGGTAGTTGAGCATGGTCGCTTAGCAGCTAGAATAGCCTGCATTAGGAAGGCTTGGATCTGAAGGGGCCTTGTAGGGGAACCGGGCAGCGCCCGCAGCTCGTGTCTTCGCATACCAAGCCACCGCCTTCATCCCAAAGCAGGGGAGCCCATCAGCCCAGGACAGTTTCTTTGCCCTTCTGCTGACGACCTGCATAGCTGCATCTCTCAGCGTCGTTTCTCTGACGGTGTATCTGATTCGGCACCCCGAAGCTGGGCCAAAAGATTTATGAAAAGCTCGGGGCTTCTGAGGCTTGGAGTAGGCACACCTCAACCTAGGCTCCTCTTTGGGATGCGCATCTCACTGGCAGCTTAGTGCTAAAGGAACAGCTGAAGGGGCCATCCTGCGAGATTATGTAGGGTTGTAACAGAGGTTTTGTTGATGAGCGAATGCAGTGAGACCGAGAAGTTTGCAGAGCTTGTGGAAAGCAGGCTTGAGGCTTGAGGGGCCTGCAATATTCTAGCCCCATACCTTCAATGCTAAGGATGCAGATGGACAAGGCTTCAGTTTGCATTCGTGGTAGGGGTGCCTCACGACGGTTCGCCTTTGTGATGTACAGCCATATGTCAGGAACCCTATTCAAATCCTGATATTTGCACACGTCCAAGGTACTTAGAATAGGCACAACATAGATGTTACAAAGGAGCGCTGGCCCTGGACCCTCCGCCCCAGGCCCTAAACCCGAAGCTCTATGACCTAAGCCCTCGTCCCAAAGCCCTAAGCACTAAACCCGCAACCGTCAACCCGAAGCCCCGTAGGCCCCGTACCCGAAACCCTAAGCCTCAAGCGAAATCCCAGGAGACCTGCAGCTGGGGGTTGGTAATCTTCGAGATCTTCTCCCGCGCTCTGCCCCTTGGCTGGCCATGAGGGCACCGAAAACTTCAGAGCTTTATAGGGCTTCTGCTTCGAAACAGGGTTTTTGTCAGAGCCTCGTGTCTACTGTTTCAGACCGCGTGGACGGTAGCATGACGGCACTATGGCAGGGGCGGGATTTCGGTCTTACGCGGAGTTGTAACTTTGGCAGGGGGCATCACCGACTGGTTCTTGGTCCAAATGTGCACCCTACCACGTGCGAGAAACAGCTGAACCTGGGTGCACCACCGAGGATGGGTCTAACATGACCACGTCGCAGCAGGAGCTACACAGTATGTTCACAAGGCCTGACAACCTTACACTGATCATGCAGGCCCATGTGTTGCCAGTTCTCCGGGAATGCTCGCGGCAACTCTCTCTCTCTCTCTCTCTCTCTCCCCTAGCCGTCTACATAGCCTACATAGCCGAGGGACACTTCAAGTCAGAGAGCAGGACTCCAAGCCTCCAAACTCTCGGAACCTCAACAGCCCGTGACACTTCCGGATCTCAGATTTCTCGTTTATCCGTCGATACTCCTGGTGACGTGGACGCAGCAGGCGGGCCACAAGAGTTTTAGGTGTCTGCCTTTAAACGGCCCTTATACTTGGAGGTTCATGGGTAGTGATAAGTAGGGCTATAAGTCCCCTAATATCGGTTATAATGTATAGTTATCCTACTTATAACCCTATTTATAACTACCCATGAACCTCCAAGTAGTTTAGATACGTGCATTGACTGGGGCCGCTTGTGCTGGGAAGTGCAGGTTTCAGGTTGACTTTGATGGGTGGTGGGATTTTGCTGTTGCAAGAGCGATGCTGGCTTGGTTTTAGGGAGTTACCAGAAAGGGGACACGTAGCAAATCAGTTAGGGCCTCCTTATTCTAGTAAGTTAGCTTAAGTTCCTCAGCAGCAACCCAGGGTTCTGGCTTGAGGTTGCAGGTCGAGGATCTTTCGTTTGGGGTTTAAGAGGTTGAGCCCGAAGGTGCTTTACTGGAAGAAGTCCATGTTGAGAGTTATCAGATCCCAGCGGCCGACCGGCAGAATTGTTCATGCACCCCGGGGCTTCCTGCGTTTGCGGCCGGAAGCGGCTACATCCTGCTTCGCGTGAGGCGTACATGTCCCATGAGTTTGAGAGTCTCCTGCAGACCTTCCTCAACTCGCGCGGTTTGAGCGAGGAGGGAAGCTCTGGTTTTAGGCCGGCTCAGCTTCACCATTTCTGGATTCAGGGCTTTTGCAGCAACCCAACCCTGAGCCGCAAAAGCCTACGAACCCCAGTCTAGGTGTTTGGTAAACCTTGAGTTCTTAGCCCCAAGCTACTGAAGCCCTGAGCTTGGGTCTTCAATGCATGGCTTTCGAAGCTTTAGGCCTTTCAGGGCTACCATAGGCTTGCGATCGATTGCCACGCACTAATTACCACTTAAACCAGCACTGAGTTCGGGTTTAGGACCCAAGTGCTAGCTAAGTAAGCGTGTCCGGAGCCTTGTTTCAAAGCGGAATCAGTCCAGCATTCCAAGCCGCTATAGTTCAAATTTCTAAGAGGAGGACATAGTCTAAGAATATTGAGCACTCTAGACCCCTTAACCACATCCAGATGCCCAGCACCCGAAAAGTCTTAAACCTTATCAACCCAAGACTCCTGAACCCGTAAGCCTCGAAACCCGAAACCTAAAGCAGCCCCCTGCAACTTGGTTCCACAGCAGACTTTGTGTGCCATGCGGCTTGGGGCACTTCCGGTTGGGGTTGTCCGCAGGCTTTAGAGTTGAGGCCAGTAGGTGCATGTTTCTTCGCTGCTTCCACATGTAATCATTCAGGCGCCCGTTGATTAAACGGCCCCGAGCCCTGAAGCCCTTATAGAAACTCTACAGCAACCCGACACCCTCGACCCTCGAGCAAAAAGCCCGAAGTCCTCGAGGAGCACTTGACCAAAAGCCTGGCGAAATACTTCGAGGTGAAGACGGAGTCACGGAAGCGACAGACCCCACAACCTAAATGCAGCGTCGCTTATAAAGAGCTCCGTAGATTCTTGTCCTCCCTGGAGCTTGATTTTGGGACGAGGAGGGCTTAAGCTGGCCTCACCCGTAGAGGACATATTATGAAAGCTTATGGCCGCAAGGCCAAGTAGTAATAACAGCGGCGCGCATGGGCGTGTGCCGGCAAAACACGATGTGCCCTTGAGGAGCCGTGATCTTTCTCTTCCTCTGGGACGCATCCCTGCTCTTCCAGTGATTCATGTTGCAGACATGCTCTTTTGCTCTCCCTGCTGTCTGTTCTGACGAGTACTCTTGGTACTACTCTCGTCATGCTCGTTCCTGTGCTGATTCAACTGCTGCTGTTGGTAGCACTGTTGCTTAAGCTTGCTGCTCTTGTTTTGGCTTCTCCTATTTCACTACTACCGTGATGCCCACCATCGGCCTCCACAATCACAAGTACATCTTCGTTGACATGTTCTCCATCGCTTTTGCAATCGCCAGCGCTTCGCAATCGCCATTATTATCATCTTCTTCTATCCACCGCAGTAATCAACTCTGCTTCATCATCACTGCAATTGCTGCCGCTCTTGGCAGTCCTTGCCGTTGCCATCAGTCTGATTGTTCTGCTGATGGTGTTTCTTCATAGTTCCATCGATGTCGAAGTTTGTTGGCAGCTTTCGGGTTCACTGCCACGTAATCCTATGGTTTTGTTCTCCATTGTCTTCAGGGTCCTCCTTGCCTGCAAGTTCAGAGTCTCAGTGGCACAATCCCTTGGACCTGCAGCCGGGAGGTCTATACCTTAATATAGGGGCCTTAGTAATTTAGAATAGGGTCTGGGGTTTTTTAATCCTATAGTTATAATGAGGAGCCACCGAAAATCCTAGGTATTGTGGCCCCTACATTACACCATCAAGCCCCCAATCCTGAGCCTCTGAGCCGTTGGAACGAAGGAAATATACGAGGAGGTCGAGTGGCTGGAGACACATCGGCTGGCATCCTACATCATGCTCTATGTGCAGTTTCTGCAGGCGGCTGGTAATGTCGGGTCAGGCAAGCCAAGCTGCGAGCCAAAGCCAAAACGACATGGGCTAAACCCTAAGCCGCTGCACCTTGAACCTTTGCAAAATCTAGCAGCAATCGTCGTGGTAGTAGTTAGGTGGACCCGAAAATGCATCCACAATGAGAGCTGTGACCCGAAAGATGGCATCTGATGGCGTATCAAGCTGCACGGCAGACGTGAATGACGGAAACAACAGCCAAGGCCGTCAAAAAGAGGGTTTCGAGGTTTCGGACTTACGTGTAGAGGTGTCCCGGATCAACCTCATCCGCTTAAACCCAACTCGAGATCCCACACTTTCAAAGACCATCTACTCCGCTCAACAAGCCCTGCACCTTCCAATACGGAATCCTTGACGGTAACCAATCACGTCTCCCAGGCGGTTCTGTACTTCAGCGCCCACCCACGGGTCGCCATGTGCTTCGGATGGAGCGCATGATTTCTGAGAGTTGAGTCTGGTAGTTATTGGGGAGTTGGTGAGATGTTGGGGTTGTGGGTGTTTAGCTACATGGGTTCGGGGCGGTTCCGAAATCAGCTTTGGGCGATAAAAGGGGCGGCTTGGTGGTTTGGTTCGAGGTGCCTTCGGTTAGGGCGGTTAGGGCTTCTTCAGCAGCACTTGGCGCCTTTGCAGATTCGGTTCGAGTCAGATTACCTTCACACAGGGGTTTGGTTGCTGTTGACCTGTGGCCACGCTCAAGGAAGATACCTTTCCTGTGGTGCAAACTTGCGCTGGGCTGTGCCTCAAGCCAGCAGGAAGAAGCCAAAGACTTGCCGGCGTCATGGCTTTGCGCTTGTTCGGGCACAACAGCCACTACGTTACCTTGCAGGACATACAACGTGCGGTTGCTCTGTCAACACCTTCGCGGACTGGATTGTGCGCAGTGCATTCTACCCCTTCTGGGATGGTGCACCTTGCACTCCGACTGCTCCGCACGAGCAAGGTGTGCCATCGGTGGGGTCGGACAGCTCATGTGCTTGGGTGTCGATAATCCTTGGCCAGAAGACCTGGGTCCGGCAAAGGCCGGGGCTGGTATCCGAGCTGGCCTCCATTCGCCCTCACAGCACAGAACATTATCTTCTGTGCTTTGAGGGCTAATGGAAGCCAGCTCGGTTCGATTGTGGTGGTCGTCTGTGCGATGCCTCGAGACCTCGGTCGGGTGGTGTCCGTGGCCGCCGGAGCGAATCACATCTGAAACTGGTTTGCTTCGGAAACAATAGCTGTGGTCAGTGCGATGTGTCTCCCGACCTCGGTCCCGTGGTGGCTGCCGTGAAGGCGAAATTAGAATCAGAGAAGCAGAACCGGCTCTCAGAGCAGACAGTTCAACTGTCTGCTCCGAAAGCCGGTTCTGCTTCTCCGCCTCGCCAGCGACACACACACACACACGCGCGCGCACTTCCCACTGCACCCAGGCTGAACTGCTTCGCGCAACCTGTCTTCCCCAGGCCACGAACAAGTCTGTAGGTACCTCTTCCTGGGTCTCCCACAAAATACTTTGGATGCCAACACGCAGCACTGGCTTTAACAGACCCTTTCAAAAAGAGAAGATTTGGTGGTGGAATCAGGTCAGTCCCTCCCGTATGGCGCCGATGCAACACATGGTAGCGAATTACTTTATCAACTGGCGAAACCGGAACTGGGTGATTTAAGGGGCTTGAGGGTAGGTGTACTACACTGTAAACAAAGACGACGGAGGGTGCGAGCAGCCGAGGCTCACCCGCACCGTGAAGAAGGCCCTGTGGAACATGGTGCACTTCTTCGTGGTCTTTGCCATCTTGCTGCCCAGACTTTGCTTAATTTTCGGGCAACCACTGCAGGAACAACTCCTTTAGGGCTTGAGGGCGGGTGGCGAGGCTTCTGCAATTTGATCATCGGCCATGTGGATCTCGGAGCTTGTATTCAGACTGTGCCTCGGTTTCTTAGGTTGAGGATCTCGCACTGCAGTTAAGGGATTGGGGGTTTAGCTTCATTTTGTTAACTGATTCCGCTGTTCAAAGTTTAATTTGTTGAAGTGCAGGTCGAATGATTCTAGATTTCAGGTTCAGCGCCGGTGACCAGAGATATGGAACCCATAGCCCTGAACGTTTTCTGACACCCGTAACCGTTAACGATGTGGTTGTGCTGTCGTGTGGTTTCATCGCAAATCCCTGGGCCCCAGCTTCCCTAAGAAGCCGCGTACCCCGAGCAGCCCCCGAAGCCTGAGATCCTAGCCGCTCTTCACTCGATACCTCCGCTTCGAACTGAACAGCCCTGAACTCTATCTACACCGAAGCCCATAACCCTCAGAAGCTGCAACAATTCTGAGCTCCACGAACAAGGTTCCTGATGTTGGCATTTATGGCCCATTTCCTGCTCGGTGGCCTCGCTGGATGACCCCACCAAGTTCGGTAGAGTTTGGCTTCTAGGGAGTGGGGTGGCCTCAAAGAAAGGAGTACTTGTAAAGATTGACTATTGTTTGGAGAGTAGTGTTTACATAGAGTAAAGGGTTGGCTCGCGAAGGCTCCCGAGCCCGAAGCCGGACATCGACAATTAATGTACATCATGTAATGCTCGGGCAGAGAGGAGTAGCAGGAGGATCGCGAGGAAGAGGCACACGACAGATGTGCTAATATCGATGACGATAGAGACGCCTATGATGCTGAAGATGATGATTGTGACCGTGATCAGGAAAGTGGTGGCCATGATGATGATGATGATGATGATGATGATGATGACGATGATGATGATGATGGTGATGATGAAGGTGATGGTGGTGGTGGTGGTGGTGGTGGTGGTGGTGGTGGTGGTGGTGGTGGTGGTGGTGGTGGTGACGAAGGTGGCTACGATGATACTGATGACGACATTCAGTCGCAAGCCCATCGGAAATGCAGACCACAGAAACATGGCTTGTGGTGTGCAACAGTAGCAGCGGCAGCGTTCATGATCGCCGAGAGGGTAAGAAGACTTGACCACAAAGTCTTCGCGGCCTACATCGTCCGAATCCCATACCTAAGACTGAACTAGACATGCAAATCATCAACCTGTCAAGCTTGGGTGGTGAAGCTTGGGTGGTCAGTTCTTTGCCGCTTGTCCCGGTTTCTAGGAGAGGGTTTGTGTCTGAAGCAGTGGTGTTCTCGTCATACGCATAAAGTCGTTGGCATCCACACTATGACCCTTTGTGATTCAGGTGGGACAGTGCACCTTTTTGGCACCTTCCCGGCAGCGTGTGCAACGCAAGTGCGAATGCTGTTTGGTGAGCTTCTCGTCTTGGGAGTGGGACCTGATGGCCTGGAAGTACGCAGAAATGCAGAATAGAGCAGCGTAGCCCGTATCCAGGAGTCATCATGCAAACTCTTGAGACTCGTACACTGAACCTTGAACCTTGAACCTTGAAGCTATAGGGTCTAGGGAGTCGAGGACTTAGAAAAAATCTAGTCTGGGCTTGCTTCCCTATCATTGTCTGGATCACCATCGTACTTTGGAGCTGCCATGGGCAAGTCTAGGAAATGGCGAGCATGGGCCCCACAGGCTGTGAGGTTTGGGGGTGGTCATTAGGGGGTTTCCGAAAATGTACCTTATTTTGGGGTCCTGATAACAAGGATCCAACTATTTAGGGTGCTATATCAGGGTCCCCTATTTTCGGAAGCCCCCATCAGTGTCCTGAGTTGACGCAGGTCCTCTGTGGCCACATCAAGTAACGGCCCCCGTGGGGAGCCAAAAAGGTTTTGTGGAAGTCTCGAGCCTGGAATCCAGAAAATCTTTTTGGGGTTCATATTTAGAATCCTATAAGGTAACCCCAAAAAGGAACTACTATGGGGCCTATGGGTATCTCCCTAGCACCCTCTGAAGACCTGTAAAAAAGGCACCACGCACAGCTTCTACAGTTCCTGATTCTTGGATCATGAACTGCCAGAGTCAAATCCTGGAAACGTGGAGGCTTTCTGAGGCTCTTAGCTCTAATTCATAACTAGCTTGTGCAAGGCCCAAAATATTGGCCCATAGAACCCCATAAAGTTACCCTACGGGTTTCTCGCGAATCCCTTTCTGAGCTTTCTGTCGAGGATTTTCGGGACTAGCCATACCCCTAAAAACCGAAACCGGTGAGGTTCATCTTCGTTGATGGTGCCGAGAAGCTCTCAGGACAGCTTTCAGGATTTAAGGTTTCCCTTAGACGAGCTCGCAGGGAGGATGTAGGATTTAGAGCTTCGGGCTGTGTAGAGTTTACGGCCTTGCACGGCTCTGTTTACGATTTCGGATCTAGGGCTTTGCTTGTATTGATTTCAAGACCTGGTCGTCGTACGGATTTCGTAGGGTTTGGATTGCCGGGCTTCAAACTGTTGTTGAGGCTTTGATCATGAGCTCTTTAACTCAAACCAAAGAATGTCAGTGGGCACAATCCATCAGCCCACCCGGCTTTGGGGAAGTTTGGGGCTGAGGTTCCAGCCACCAGCCCTGCGTGTCAGGAAGCATGAGCGCCATGTACTGGGTCTATGCTGCATCCTTTATGCTGGTCGTGCCTCTTGGCTTTTGGGGCTTTGGAGCTCATTGTTTAGGAGTAGGGTGTCGAGTGTTGCACAGACAAATTCTGCACAAGATCAGACCTTGATTCTCAATGTTAAGAATGCTTGGATACTGGAGGTTGTTCAATGACTAGTGCTTTTGTTGACGCACATTCCCGCTAGAAATGTGATATAGATTATGCCTGCGTCCGCTGCAGTGTTCAAGACGGAAGCAAAAGGACTTCAAAGAGGCACAGTCGAGTCTTGCGGCCACAGAGCACACCCAACAAACAATACCCTACGCTCCAAATCCACCGGAGGGCTTCGGGTTAAAGGCTAAGGGTGTCAAATTGCCGTAAATGTTGATATTCGTAGCTGCATGCATCCTGGCGTCAGATCTGGCAGCACACAGAAGTGTCCCCGATGGTGGCGATGGATACGCATCATGAGAAGCAGGATGCCGTTGTACGCGGTGTAGGGCCGCAATATGGGGGGGGTCGGAATAATTCCACTTCTGTTCCTAGTTCCTTGTTATAGATCTACCATAATGTCACCCAACAGCCTATTCTAAATGTTCAGGCCGCTACACTACCCACCATGCAATGAGGTTCTTCACACTGCTGAACTTCTTTTTAGCCGCGGCCCCAGAAGCGCACGACAGGGCTTTTGAGAGCTCAGCATTTATCTTGGGGTGTCTGCTCTCGAACTTTTGCTGATGAGATCTATCAGCACTGTCTTCTGACAACTTGGTTTACTGAGGTTGTCCAAGCATGTTACGTGTCAAGCCCCCTTAAAGGTCCAGGTCTTTTCCACTTTATGCCGTGCGGAACTCAGGGTGTAGACATAATCAGGGCCCTAAACTCCCAAACCGCAACCAGGTTGGAGTTTTATGCATGACCCGCACCACCGGGGGTTCCCCTGAACCCTGGAACCCAGCGACCCCAAGGCCTCAACCCCAAAAGCTGCCGCCCTTTGCTGCAGCGTATTACAAAGTCAAACACGATAGGTTGCAGGCTGCCCTGACTCTCCGACGCCATGTCGATCGTTCCGCCGCTTTTAGCTGCAACGGGCAATGGCGTCCCATCATTCCTCTTGAATATGTCGCCCGGCCTCATCCATGCTGGCAGGGTTGTCCACGCGGCACAGAGGCTAGTTTATGTATTTGGGCAGCCAGAACTCGCTGCTCGCAACTCACGCCTCTCATGCAATCTAGCTTCGTGATTCTATTCCGAGAAATCACTGAGAATTGTCTACGTGACATCGCTCTGTGCATGAAAGGATTGTCAAATATGCGCTGCAATTGTATCTTCAGTCAGCTGTGCTAGCCGCGTCCCTGTATCTTGGGATCCTGTAAACTGTAAACCCTTTCTTGCTTAGGGTTTAGGGTTTAGGAGCCTTATGAAGCAGGCTATATTGCAGCCCTGCAGGCATTGGAGAGCAGCATAAGAAGCTTACACAGAGCGTCAACTTGTGAGTTCCATGCAGTGCTGAGCACACCTGGCAAATGCTTACACCCCCTTCTCAAGCAAGTCAAACGACCCTAGACGGTTATAGCCCTAAACCCTGAAACCCTAAACCCCTAAACCCTAAACCCTAAACCCCTAAACCCTAAACCCTAAACCCCTAAACCCTAAACCCTAAACCCCTAAACCCCTAAACCAGGCCACTAAATCTCCCTTTCTGCACAGAAGGATCCCAGAGTCGCCTCCTTTCACTGCGCTACTTGGGTCCGTCTTCCTCTACAACACACCGCAGCCTGGATGGGCTTGGGGTTTCGAATTTGCGGAAATTTAGGCTTGGGCATTTTTTGCGTTTAGGGTGGAGGATTTTGGGGCATGCAGGATAGTTTGAGGTTTCAGGCTCGGGCTGAGGAAATAAAACTTGTTCTCCGGGGTTTCCGAGCACACGCTGAACGACGGCGTTGCGTTCCGTGCTGCTGTGATTTGGGACGTAGGTCGACAGGTTATCGTCCGCTGCTTGACGGATCTCGCAGTTTATGTTTCAAGCTTGCCGAGGTGTTGTGTGTTGGGATGGAGGAGTGGTTGGGTTCTCGGGTAGTGCCCTGACCTGTGTGGTACGGGTCTTTTACACTGGGTCCTGGAGCCTTGCATTGTTGCATTTTGAATCTTGCTTGCCTAGGGAATCTGTTCTTTTCTCAAGCCTCCGCACGAGCGTCACCGGGCATCTTCTCAGAACTTTCAGCGAAACCGGCCACCTCGCGGTGACCTTGAGCAGTGAAGTAAGGCAAAACCTGCTCCCCCCCACCACATGCCTGTTTCAGAAAACCTTGGGATTGGAAGGGCTTTCCCGAGATTTCGGCGACCGCGACGTCCCAGGCACATGTGGAGAATGTACTTAATGTCGAAGGCCGCCGGAGGCGTGGACAAGATCAAGAATGAGAACCCCAGAGCCCAGAAGGAGGAGCTCCTTGAAAGGAACAAGTCGTAGACTTATTATTATTATGTTAGATTAGGTGGGTTTATGTGTAGGTTATAGGGGTTTGTTGTGCGGGGGTCATTTGGGGGGGGTGATGTAGGGAAACGTACAGACCTTTGGGTTGGGAGCTTCGGATCGAGAGTTTCATTGGCGACAGTAGTCCTTCAGAATCCTGGCAGAAGACTTGCACAGCCCCCAAAGCCCGTCTCGAGTTTTTCGGCTCCTGTATTCTGTGGTTCTTTCTCTCCGGTCGCTGTTGATGTTGTAAACAGAACAGCATATCGCCGGCGACATGCTAGGAAATAGATGCCTTTACAGAGCCGCCGAAGTTCGGATAGATGCTTCCTGTACGTAAGCCGCAGTGCTCTCGCTGTGTTCCTTCGTTTCCAATCACTGACTCTTCAACGATGTGCCTAGTTAAAGGTACCTCTTGCAAGCGGACGTCGTTCTGGCAAGGAAGCCAATGACGTAGCAAAAGCTAGTTCCGTGGTCTATTTTTGATTACTGTAATAGTAGAAGCAGCCCATAGTGTTGCATAAGGCCCCACAAGACCCTTATGAAGCCAACTAGGCACGTGTTTTAAAGGCTATCTTCCCAGAAGCCAGTTGAGAAGCCGAGGATGACGAAGCACCCAGTCTACGGTGAAGCGATCGTGAGAGCAGAAGCCGCGCATCAGAATCCAGGCTGCTACGGTTTACGTAGGCTTTATGGGCTTTGGGGTTTAGGGCTGCATGCAGAAAGGAGGCAGAAGCATGCTCCTCCCGAAACCGCCCAGGAACGGCCTGGAGTCTTTCCCAGTCTTTGCGGCCGGAATCCTGGGTGCCACTCTGATGGGCGTGGACAAGGCAACAGTGGGTAAGCTTGCAAGCTTTCACCTCCTGTGCCGGGCCGGCTTCAACGTCTTGTACATGGGCTTCAACACACCAGGGCCTGCTCTCGGTCGCACCCTCGCATGGTTCCTCTCGCTTTTCAGCTCCTGTCAATTGATTGCCCTGGCGGCTAGCAAGTGAATCTGGAAGGGCAGGGCAACGGACGGCATGAGGCCTTTCAACTTTTGAAGGTGTGCACTCACTATCGATTTGTTCGGGACCTTTCAACGTCCAGTGTGCACGCTGACCATCGCTTCATGCAACGTGCAATGCCAGGCTGCAGCCAAAAAGTCGTCTGGTGTGCTTCTATCAGGGCTTCTTTTAAAGCTTCGGGCTCTGGGGCTAAGACCTCGGCCCGAAACAAAAGAGCCGTAAACCAACTCCCAGCAGCTGAGCTGTCAGGCAGCAACCTCGGGCCCAACTTCTTTAACCCAACGGGCAACACAAGGACATAGAGGGTTAGAACAAGGCCTTTGCATGAGCACTACTAGGTCTGAGTAGGCGTTGTACTGCAGATCCGAAAGTGCACGGAACACCTGCACGGCTGCAACTGAGACAGTGTGGGTGCACACCCTAAGCCTCAACCCTAGGCCCTGAGCCTGACACCTTCAAAACCTAAACCTGCAAGGTGCAACTTTCGAAGCTTGGGGAAGGGGTTCCGTAGTTGGGTAAAAGATAATTCAAAGGAGCGATAGGGTGGAATTTCTTGGCTATGCTCCTAAGTCTTCGTAATCTTCCTACTGTCCTTGACTGCGATGATGTTCATATAGGTATTTTGTTTTCCATCAGTGTACAGGTTAGAGAAACATGCTGTCACCCACCCCTGAACCACCTGAGAAGCCATGCAGACTTCTTTTTTGGGGCCTTGTGGCCGCGTAGCTGCTGAGGCGATCATCGTCGATGCCTTCGTCGATGTGAAAAGTGAGTCCTAAATGCAAGAGAGACCGGTGCCCCGCTAAGCTGGGGCTCATTGGGGCCTTGCTTCCCATTCGCCATGCCCCTAAAGTCGCTGTATCATCCTTAGAGGCTGCCAAACTTCCGGACTAGTAGACTAAACTATACTCCGGGCTGCGAGTTTTAGCTTTCCTTACTATAATTATAGTATAATATACACCAAAAACCTATTCTAATTATTAAGGCCCCTATGGTATAGCATACTTTACCTTTCGGATTCAAGTGGGGGGGGGGGTGAGATTTTGTGTTGCATGCTGGACCGGAGGAACGAATGATTTCAGCGGAAGGTTGTGGATTTGACAGCTTGTTACAAGTCACGGTGGAGGATGGCCTGCTTGCATTGTTTCAAGATTCCTCCAGTTCTCTTTCGTTCTTTCGGTTTCGTTTGGTTTAGGGCTTATGCTTCCGTAAAACATCAACTGTCGAATGGAAGCCACGGCAAAGGAGTGCGATGACCTTCAGTGCACACGGAATGTCTTCTCAGACTTCTGCAGCAGCCTGGCGACAGCAGGACTGCAGAACCGCTACAAGTAGAGATATCCGCTATCCTGCTTGAGGGTTTTGTTCATGTTTGTATATCTATACTTATTTCTATATCGAAATCGATACCTCTACCTATATCCCCATCTGTATCTACATCTATATTTGTCTCGGTCTCTATATCTATACTTTTTCTATATTTATGTCTCTATCTATACCTATACCTGCATCTGCATCTATATCGAGATTTGTATCTGTGTCGGTATCTACATCTATACCTATATCTATACCTGTACCTATGTCTCTATCTGTATCTGTATCTATATCCATATCTATGTCTGTATCTGTATCTATATCTATATATGTATCTATATCTATATCTACATACATGTCCAGGCACGTGTGTGTATGTATAAACACACACACGTATGTTTATCTATATACATGTGTAGATGTATATAGGTATAGGTATACTCGCACAAATATGTATGAAACGCACGCATGCATGCATACATGCATGCATGCATGCATGTCTGTGTGTATGTGTGTATGTCATATATGCACACAGGTATGTAAATATACCGTGTGGCTAGCTGGCTGGCTGGCTGGCTAGCTCGATGGAGTGGGTGGCTGGTGGGTGGACCAGTGGGGTGGGTGGGCCCGCGGGCAGGTGGGTGGGTGGTGGGTGGGTCTATGGGTGGATGGATGAGTGGATGGAGGGATTTATGTGTGTACTGCACGGCAGTAGCCACAATCCGATGTGTAAGGGCCAACAAACATTGAACGCATTCTGCAAGCCTCAGAGAGCTCTGCTGCCCTTCATAACATCCTTAAGCAGGATTCCCTTCAGCAGTAACTCTGGTTGCTCTAAACTGGAACAGTCGCAAGTCATGAGCGCAACTTCTAAACCGCTGGACTCCAAGCCCTAAACCCTCCTGAGGCATACCCCGAAGCTGGCACTTGCATCGAAAGTACCGCTTACCGGCACGCCATTCCCTCTGCCGCTTCCTTGGCGAGGCCCAGCAGGGTCACGGCTTGGTGGAAGTGGCTAGGGATGAATATTGTTGCTAGGTTCTGGGGTATTTAGATCTTGGCGTTGTGGAAGGAGCCACTGAACGAGGGCAAGAGGCTGCTCGCTCGTTTGCACTGTTGTTGCACAATACATCGGCGTTGGCATTCATGGGTTCAGGCAGCAAGCCCTAACAAGCAAGACCATCAGTTTAAAGCCTTTCTGTTTTTAAGCCCCACTTCGGAAACTCCTCAGACTCAGACCAGTGGTTGCTTAACTCAATTTGTGCCTGTCCTGATTCTGCTACGTACTTGGTGATAGCTCTGGAATTCTGCGGCTCCCAGAGTTTAAGTTCAGCGCTCCGGCACCGAAACCTCAACCAAGAGTTGGCAAATCCGCAGATGTGGGCACCTACAGGGATTTGGTCGTGAGAGATTGAAACTTGCAGGGGAATCTTCGCCCGCAGCTATTCCTACGGTCACGACGGCTATGCACCACAAATCACGAGTAGCCTCAAGAAACCTTTTGTCCTGTAGCAGGGTAAAGGGCTGCATGAGAACCAGCACCAAGAACAAGACTACCAACAGTGCAACACGACTGGCAGGCAGATGAGCATTCACAGTAGCTCCAGCTTTCGAGCCGAAGCCTAACACCAAGCTCCACGCCCTAATCCACAATGCCCAACCCCAAGCACAAGGCTTTGGATGCCTTTGAGGAGGAGAGGGAGAGGAGGCCAGCGTAATTAGCCTCGATGCGGCCCAGTGTTTGTCATCCTGGTTATCTGGGTGACCGATCAACTTGACTGTTTTGGTCGCAGCCGGGAGGTGTGTTGGGATCACCATCGGGGCCCCTTTTCTGCCAACACTTCTGGTCAGGTATCGTGCATGACTGTCTGGCACAGTACAAACTCTTTCGAGACCTTGAAGTGTAAGTCTTTCCCCGGAGGAAGCTCGCAAATCAGTCTTGGCTGGTTTGGGAGTGACTAGGGTTGCATGTCAGAGATTCGAGAAGTTAGCTGTGGAGTATCTGGAGAGGTAGTCCTTCAAGTAGGAAAGTCAAATCGCGAGTTTTGGAGCATGTGACCCCGTGCAAAGATCCCCAATCAACAGGAAAAGCCAGGAAGGAGGAACCCCAGATTTTCCTAAGCCACCAAACACCTGCTTGTAACATTGAGCCTGAGGCTCTCAGTCCCACGACTCATAGTGGCAATATCGAGGTCTGCAAAAAGACTATGTAGAACCATAATCTGGCAATACGGGCCGTACATGCAAGACTCTCTCTCTCTCTCTGTTTCTCGTTCTCCCTCTCTTTCTCTCTCTCTCTCTCTCCCTGTTTCTCGTTCTCGCTCTCCTTCTCTTTCTCTTTCTGGTATATATATATATATACACACATACATACATACATACATACATACATACATACATACATGCTCAAAAACCGACCTCAGAGCCCCGGCAAAAACAGTTAAGGGCGCTTGAATCAGCCGGGCAGGGACTCCTCCGACTCCGAGAAGCCCCCGCTTCTGGAGGACAGCGGGGCTCCGGAAGGTTTGGGTTTCGGCTTCCCTTGGGGCTTTGTGGGTTATTTTTCCGACTTGGGGGCTTTAGGGGCTTTAGGCTTGTAGGGTTTAGAGGCTTAGGACTTGAGAGCTGAGTTTAAGTTTGAGTGTCGGGCTCGGGAGGGAGTGGGTTTCGGCCGTCATCAGGGAAAACTTGTCAGCAGGACTGTTGATCTTATTTGTGAACGCGGCCGCTGTCGATATTCTCAGCACCACTGTCAACAATCTTGTCATGAGCACTGCCGCCATCATCATTACTGCCAAGCACTACGCTTGAAATAATAGTGTTCATAGTCAGTTGTGGTACTGGCGTTGCGGTTATGAGCATGGTGACCATGACCGCTGTGATGATTCATGATTGATATTGGTCGGATTGGTCCTTCAACCAAGAAAAGGTCTCGGTGCCAGCAGTTGCGGGATCTGCTCACAACCCGCGTGAAGGTTCAGGGTTTAGGGCTCATGGATGTTATGGGCCATATAGTCGATTTCTCAAGAATAGTTAGGGTGTGCCGACATCAAGGAAAGAGAATTAGGGGTAAAGGCGACTCCACCCCAAAAGCCTCAACGGTTGACCCGATCACTTTTCACTCCAAACCCTCCCCAGTACCCTAGCAAGTGAGCAGGAGAGGGGGTACTAAACAGGGTAAGCACCGAAAGCCTACAGCCCTAAAGCCTAGAATCCTAGAGTTACTCCATGAATCTTCGTTAGGACGCCAAAGCCATCGATAAACGAAGCAAGTTCCGGGCCCGCTAAGGCTCAACGCCTTCTCGACAAGTTCGGAGAAGATCTGAAGCCCGGGTTCACTCGCAAAGCTTTCGGCTTTAGGGTTTAGGGTTTAGGGTTTAGGGTCTTCTGGTAGGTGTCAGAATAGTCACTACTACTACTGGGTTTCCTGATTATCCTATATCCCAACATCCTCTTCTACTTTTGAAGGCCCCTATGTTAGCGTGGGGGTTTGGTTTTGTGTGGCTTTGTGCTTTGAGGGTTTGGGGGCTCCTAGAGTGCAGGCCTTTAGAGTTTAGGGCTTGCGTGTTGAGGGTTTGCTGCTGTGGGGTGTTCGGAATTTGCGGCTTGGTGTCTTGGGTTTCGCAGTTTGGGGTTCAAGGCTACTGGGGCTTTGGGGTTTGGGAATTCTAGGTTTCGCAGAGCCCTGTCAGACGGACGCCTTCGCTATCATGCCTTGCACTCTATATAGCGTAGGGGTTCTGATCGTGCTTGTCGAGGGCATATCGGCCCCCTCATGAAAAACATCGATGAGAGTGCATTCGGGCATCTTTGTTTGCGAACATGAGGCACGTAACTCATCAGGTCTCTGCAACCCCCAAAAAGGGGAGCCTCTAAACTCCAAACAGAGGCCGATGTGACCAAGCTTCTCACAAACACGCACGCAATTCTGCGAAACAATGTTCTTCAGAGACCTTCGGGCTACCGGTTTGAGCTACCTCGGAATGTAGAGGTGAAGCTGTAGTACATCGGCAGCATAGGGACTTTATTGGGATATAATTCTACACTACTTGTTCGGAGCTCTAATGACATGAGTTTGTCAGTCGTCTCATCCGAAGCCTCAGACCTTCCAGTGCCAAAGCAGAAACCCTGAAGCCCTGATCCGTGAGAGCACAGGACTCAAAGATTCACGGTTTAGGGTGCAGGGCTTCGGGTTTAGGGTGAGGGTTTAGGTTTGGGGTTCAGGGCTGAGGGCTGTCATGGGCCTCATTCCGAAAGCAAGGTTCTGTCATCTGCTTTGCCGCGTGGAAGCACTCAGCCGCGCACCCGTCATCCACTTGACGACCCTTGGCATAGCTTTGCGATTGTTTCAGACATCGGACTCCTCTTCAGGGGTTTAGAGGTACCGGCAGGTTTGACGAGACACTCGTAGAGAGTGCTGCTGTTTTGTGCTTAGGACAGGCTAGGTGAACAGTATTCGTTCTTGCATTTCACCTTAGTCCTATCTTACCACCTATTGTGGTGCATGTTGGCTCAAGGCCAAAATGAATCGATCTGTGAACCTCAGAGTGTGAGGTGTACCCAGAGTAGCTGGGCGTGTCTTTCATCCCACCCTCCTCTCCCTGTATCTACTCACTGGGTGAGTGACTGCCCTCCGCCTTCGTGGCGGTTGTGGTAGAGGCACTGTGTGCCGCTTTGGTGTATGGGAGGTGTGTGTCCCATATGAGCGTGCCGCCGGGCGGCCCCTGTGTTTTCAGGGTTCACCAACGCACTATGGGCGAGGAGCTCATGAAACGAGTGATGTTTGCTTAGCTGCGAGCCCAAAGGAAACACTAAGTGTGAGTGCATAGAACGTATTCTAAGTATTCTACAAAACGAACACCGATCACTCCTTCCGTTCATGTGTGCTGTCGAAGGTTTGGAGTCGGTAGACCCTTAGATCCATCGTTTGAAACTGAGTCAAAACAAGCCCTAGGGTTAGGGTTTAGGGTTTAGGGTTTAGGGTTAAACCCCAAACCTTAAACCCTGAACCCCAACCCCTATGCCCAGAACTCCTTGTTCCTGGGGAGATCTTACCGTCAGGCTTCGGGGCTTCACGGTTCCGATGTCTCGGGAGGCTCCAGGTCTGGACCCTCGCTTTTAGGGTGTAGTTTCGAGTTTAGGGTTTAGGGTTCGAATTTAGGGGTTAGGGTAGTGCAAGATATAGAAACTCGTTCTGGGAAGGTAGGTAGTTCAGAAAGAGATAGCTCCCAAGACATGCCAGCCCCAGACTTTATGAAGCAGAGCCAGACAGGTTGGGTGTTCTGAACTGGTGGCCCTTTGGTTCAATTCGAGCGACTCCATGTGTTAGAATGGCACTAGCGGACTAGCGCACAGCGTTTTCAGCAGTGCCTCGGCACTACATGTGTATCATGGCAATAGGCCGCCATCCGGCATGAACAGGGGTAGGATGGTCAAGATCGTGTGGGGAACAGAGCCATATGGAAAACGCTGCCAGCTTTCATGTGGGTCTGGAGAGCAGTAAAGCCTTTGCTTCTTTCCGGAAAGAGCAAAGAGTAGCAGTCAATGCTTCAAGTTTGGGGTACTCCAGAACTCAGTACAATCAAATCGGTAAGCAGGTTAGCATAGGCAAGTTCGAAGCAGGAATCGCTAAACCCGAAGCCCTGAACCCTAAAAGCCTCGTGCCAGGAAACAGAGCTCCGAAACGGTCACATCGTTCCGGACAGAGCACGCAGATGACAAGTTGGTGCAGCTGAGTTGCAGAGCTAATGTAGGGGCCTAAATCATTACCAATACTATTTTGGGGGTTCCATATTAGAATTAGTACACTCCATTCCTGGGGATATTTCAGAACTCGACTGTGAGCTGGTACCAGGAATAGCTGGATAATATGATCCGACTGGATATGCCCCTGTAGTTGCTACATACACAGTGCAGTCACGCGCCTTTGCATATTGTACTACACTACTGTGTTCTCCTTCTGCCAGCAGTTGTGGACGCTGAGGTTCAGAAAAGTGCAGCTGCTGCAGGGGCAGAAGCCAGACTCGGTCATTCCACATGCAGTTGCAGACTGAGCGTTTCGACTTTAGAGCTTCTTCAAAGCGCCTGTGGTGCGAGCCCTTCCAAAGCTCGGTCCTTGGGCCAAACTGTTGTTCCACGGTTTAGGGTTTAGGGTTTAGGGTTTAGGATTGGGTGCCAAGGTACAGGAGGGATTGAGTTTAGGGTTTTGGGGATTTAGGGTATAGGTGTGTTTGGTTGAGGTTGTTTGGTTTATGCAGGCCTGGGGCGGGTTCAGAATTAACTCGCCAACCAGCGGAACCTCAAAGGCAACCTGTATTGGAAGAACTCCGAACCGCCTTGACACATTATAGCTACATGTATATGTGTATATACATATACAAATATATATATATATATATATATATATATATATATATTTGTATATATAACATCTCTATCTATCTATCTTTTTATTTATCGATCTATCTATCCACTGTGGGTTCTCGACAGCTGCCCCGAAACAAGTAAACCACAAGATCCTCAGCCTTCCAACTTGCGACCCTAAAACCCGAAACCCTCGACTCAGACTTTGGGTAGTCTACTGTAGAACCGTAAATAATTAATTCCTCATATTATTCCTTAGGGTTCCTTAGTACAGATATACTACAACGGAGCCCATAGCCCTAGTCTAATTATTAAGGTTAGCAGTGCGGCTTGGCCCCGGAAAAC